TAAGAGGGGATAAAACAGACGATTCTCATGGTAAAATCTGACAGATAAAAACTTTCTGGACCAGTTTGTGGATAAACAACGTCGAGTGACGAGTCTGACTTTTTTTTCGCATTGGACTCCACTGGTAGAGAAATCCCATGCAGTGACGTACGCTGCAGCAGGAGCGGGGATTCCCGGCATGGGGTGTCTCAGGAACTAAGGTATGTGCTAAGTCATTCAGAAAGAAAGACGAGCACAAAATAAGCAACTCACGTTAAAACCGCAACCTGCGACTCATGGAATTTACAAGCGACTTTAGAAAAAAAGAAGCCGTCACTTATAACAAGCGAACCTGCTTGTTTTTATTTCTTCTTCTTTTCTTTTAACAACGTAACTGCGCATGCCTTATCAGCCGATTGGATCGTCTATTGGCGATAGCCAGTGACCATGATCTTACGATCTGAAAATAGGGACGATTTCCCATCCCTAATGTGGGAAAGCCCTCGTAGAGGATTTCTCCTCTGGCATTGTGTTTACCAACTTCTCTGAACCAATCAGCCCCGCAAAGTTTCTCCTAAAGCTTTTTCAGATGCCATTCTCTAAAAATACCCCACGATAATAGAAGTTTACAATCTCTTTGTCTTCAAAAAAGACAGCACAGCTGTTTTATGTTGCACCACAGCCTCCAGGAGACCACGGTGAACAGTTTGAATGTAGATGTGTCTATGGGCAAGGCATTTACACTCCTAACTTAATCCCTGTATTTCCTTCAATCCCAACCGTGCAGAGAAGCGCTGTAGCTCTCATCTCCTCCAGCAACCTCACTTTCTATCCAACGCACCAGCGTTCCCCACCCCGCTGGCATTATTAACACATCAAATGTCAGCTCATGCTCTGGTTCCTCTAGGCAAGGCTCTGAACCTACCCTTCAGCTACTAACATCTCCAAACCATTAACCTGCTTTTCCACCTCTTTGCCCTGCTCATCCCACCACCTTTTTTTTTTTTACTGGCGTGGCTGCTATGTTAATTCCAGGGATTACCTCCGTTACCCCTGGCAAGAAGTTCAACTTCGTCAGAGTGGCCACTCATCCGTCGCGACATAATGACACCTCTTGGTATTTATAACACTACGAGTCAAGACTCCAGCTCTGTACCACTGCACACTCAGAAACAGGGCCAGAAGTTACAACTAGACACATTTTGGGAGGAAAAAGTGGACGTTTACGTAAAAGTTGTTGAGAGCAGGTGATGAAATGAACTTTCCTCTAAATGTCAGCAAAGGTGGGCTGTCAAAATGACAAGCTGGAGAGATAAATATTAGCATTACATCGTCATAGTAACAATGTAATAAGAAAAGAGAGAAGAGGAAGAAAGAGTAAAGGTTAAAATAGAAGAAAAAAATGAAACAGGCCAAAATTAAGAAAAAAAACTCATGTGTAATTATTATTCATTTAGGTGAGGTAGCTTTATTTATACGGCAACTCCAAGTGCTTTACACAGAAACTCTTGATAAAATACAGAAGAAAATAAAGAAACTCAAAGAAAGAACATACTGGTTTAAGATAAAACATAAAAGCAAACTCTGATTAAGAGCTAAAGTCAAATGTAACACCAATGAATCGTTTTCTTGCATTAATCAAAGACAGCAGGGAATAGCATGTTCTTCAACCTTGTTTTAAAAGAACACACGGTGGGAGCTGTCCGGCAGCTTTCTGCGAGTTTGTTCCATGTATTTGGTGCAAAAAAAAAAAAAACTGACTGCAGCGTCAGCATGTTTGGTTCTGGGGACGGAGAGCAGGTTTGATACAGATGAACTCAGAGGTCTGGACGGTTCATAATGCAGTAAAAAGATGTTTTTTGTTTGTTTGTTTGTTTGTTTGTTTGTTTGTTTGTTTGTTCGTTCTTTCATTCATTCCATTAAAAATAAAATAAAAGAATAATAAAAATAAAATACAAAAAAACGTAACAAAATGAAATAAAAGGCAGCAGAAAGAAGAAAAAAAATCTTATAATACCTGTGCCTTTCCTCCATCAAATAATCTTTACGCAACAAAACAAAATGAAAAAGTAAGATTAAAAGAAACCATCAAATTTTTCTTGAACTAATAATCCATTCTAGGCAGGTCCTTTTTACATTATTTGTTTGAAAAGAAACAGGTAAAAGACACAAGATCTTTTGATTTCCTGCCCTTCTCAACTCATAACATTTAAATGTTCTCACACCAGATTAACACAAATTATTCCCACATTGAATGAGCATTAAATTTTACATTCTCATCCTTACACGTATAATTATTTATACATTTCTAATATAAATAATATTGAGACACCCATCCTACATAACATATTTCCCTGTAAGCTCCTTTTTAAAGTTTTTTTTAATGCTGGTTTAAGTTTGTAATTTTTTAGCTCATTTTTGACTTAAACAACTTAATGCTTTGTAAACTGGAAGCATGATTTCATTGGGCATTCACTGAGTAACAGGGAGCCGGTGCAAAGTCCTCAGAACTGGACTGATCCACTCTCTTGGTCTTTAAGGACTCAGGCAGCAGCGTTCTGGATCCGTTGTAGTGATCTGATTGATCTTTTTAGCTAACTTTCAGTCTTTCCTCCTTTGCTCCAAAATCTACCGCTTCAGTTTTGTCCTTGCCGAGCTGGAGGGAGTTCTGGCACATCTAGTGGTTAATTATTGAAACACGTTTCTTTTCGATGATTTTAGACAGAAATGCAAGATTATATTAGTTGGTTTTCATTACTTAGCATCATGTTACAAACATCTCCAATACTTTGGTTTAATTTCGTAAAGCAAGTTCTAATTTGAACACAGCATGACCAGTTACTGCTGTAACATTTGCCTTTAAACACTGTAAAGTAGACAACCTTGCCTGTTGGCTGCTGTTGATTAATGACCTCATATTCTGTTAATTAGACACTCAGCCTTAAGGCAGAAAGATTTAATTTCCCCTTCATCATCATCACCAAAAAAAATGATTAAAGAGGAGGTTAGGAGAGTAGAGGAGAACAGAGGAGAGGAGAGTCATGTCAAATGTGGGATGAAATTTCCAAAAATCTAAATCAACCAAGGCACTAAAAAGAAATAAGCAAAATCCATTGCTGGCATGAAAGTTTATATTTAAACCTTAAATAAGTGTTGGTACTGTGCTTTATAGAATTGATACAGTATCAGAAAAAGAAACACAGCAATATTTCAGTGTATTACTATTTGTATTGTTGCATTATTATTATTTAACAACATGCAATAAGTATTTTGTTGTAGCAATTGGTATTATTAAGGTAGGTTTTCACTATTTTAAACACTTTGTACCTAAATAATAAGGCACTTTGTTTTGTCATATGGCCAGACATCTTTACAAAGTCCTAAAATAAAGCTGCAGGGTTGTGAAATGATTCATTGTACGATATAAAAGTAGGGGAAGATGCAATGATAAAATGTTATATCTATTTCCTAATTTTAAAATATAAAAAAAGATGTCTTTTTGGATTTGGTAACAAGCTATGGCATAGTTTCACATGCAGTCTTGGGCATAATTGTATCATGTGTAATTAATCATCAGAAAAACATTAATCAATTACTTTTTGGCACTTGATGATTAATACGATTAATGCCACCAGGCAGAGTCAGCTCAGTGCTTCCTCCCTGCTTCAAATATGACAAACATTAAAAAGAAAAAGTTCTGTAATTTATCAACACTATTTAAAATTTGATGTACAGCCTGAAGTCTGTAATTTTGACACAATTTGTAACAGATTTTTATGAAGATCAAATCTTTCCCACTAAATTGGTCATGTGACTAGGACATAAGGGTATCCAGGGACTTCAGAGGATTAATCGTCAAATTAATCGTTATCAGCTAAATACCCCAATTAATCGTGATTAATTTTTTTGCCAATTTGCCCAACCCTAGTCTAAATACACAGTTAATATTGTAAATTTAATTACCGTATTTTTCGGACTATAAGCCGCACCGGACTATAAGCTGTACCCGCCATTTTTAAAAAAAAATCCGTGAACATTAACATATAAGCCGCACCGGACTATAAGCCGCATCCCCAACATAAAAAAAACAGTACTCCCAAATTTGCCGTCAAAAAAAGTGAATTCAACATCAAAACATAAAAAAGCCTTTAGGAATTAAAGTTCGGAGGAATACGATTCATTTAACTGACCTTATTTTGGTAGTTTTCTTTAACAGTTTCTGGTCCAACAAAAAGTTTCATTCATTGTCCTCCGGCGCACTGAAAACATCGAAGTCTCCTCTTCAGTGTCGGAGTTAAACAAGCTGAGAAAAGCTGCGTCACACAGCGGTATCTGTTGTCCTCCCGGGGTAATGCTGGCTCTGAAGCTGTGGTGGGAAAGCCCTCCCACTCCAGCATACGTCACTGCATGGGATTCCTTCGCCGGGGAGTGCAATGAGGAAAAAAAAAGTCCGCGGCTCTTCACTCGACGTTTATCCAAAAACTGGTCCTGGATTAAGCTCCAAAGTTTTTATCGATCAGATTCCACCGTGAAAAATGTCTGTTTTATCCCCTTTTATGAGTTTTTGGCCATTGACTATCTTTAAATCGCTGCTTCCTGTCAACAGTCGGCTCTGGAAGCGATCTCTTTTTTCTTTTTTTCCTTTCTTTTTTTGAAGCGAGTGGTTGAAGCAAATGGAGCATAAGAGCCCCCTGGTGGCTGAAGAAAAAAATCCACGTATAAGCCGCACCGGACTATAAGCCGCATGGTTCAAAGTTCAGGAAAAAAGTCATGGCTTATAGTCCGAAAAATATGGTAGTCAAAAAGTAGAAAACCTGCTTGTTTTGTGCAACATTACTGTATACCATTTTGTAAGAAATATTCATCATAAAGTGACTAAAACACAAGATACAGCTGTAATTAGAATAAAATGCTAATGCAGAACACGATGCAACAGAAAACTGACCTGGCGTTGCACGTGAATACACCGAGCTGATTTCCTTATGAAAACTGAAAGAGAGAAAGAGGAAGTGGAGCCTAACCTTGTGGCAGGTCTGGTGACACATATGGCACTTCCTGGGTGTTGATGTGCGTCCAGTCAAAGTCATCATAAGGGTCTTGTTGGTAATCACACTGTGAGAAGCCTTCATCGAATGTACAACTTCCTGCAATACAAGAAACACAAAACAGCTGATTTCACAGGAAAAAAAAACAAAACTTGTGGAGTCAAGTTTATTTTATTACAATAAAGAGTTCCTTCCAGTCAGTCCAGAAGACATTTTGATTATTGTTTGTTTATGCCTGTGAGTCTTTGTCTCAACTCAAAAAAATATCCAGTCTGAGCTCCAGCAGACATCACTCAGGGCAGACCACCTCTGACTCAACCAACCGAGCCTTCAGCTGATCATCTGCGTCCGTCCCCACGGCCTCGGGACCACCATGTGTGAGCTGGCAGCCTCTGGCTCCGCCTTAACAGGAAATTCACCCTAACTTAGAGAGACATCACTTCTTCCTGACAGATAGCTGAACTGATAAACCTGCAGTGATATGAGGCTCATACTTGTAATATTGCTGATAGCAACAGCATGCCGGCCACTACGAGTGATCTGATTCATTGACCTAGCAATGTCACACAGCTTGTGTTAATAAAGTAGCTGGAAGAAACACGGCCAAGAAAAGCCACGATACCATCTGATTCAAGTCGCTGCCTGTTAGTGAAAGAGCAGTGCTCTTTTTAGCTTTCATTAGATAACGTGACGTGATTGGAAAAAATTAAAAGTCTGTAATATGTCGGAATATTTGTCATTTCATCATTTTAAGCAAAAGAAACAAAAAAAAGTTTTTTCTTTCGCGCGTTTGGAAAAGAAACCAAAAAGGTAAACCAAGAGTCTTCTCAGTCCAGATTTTATTTATTTTAACAACAGTGTGTTTATCCTAACATAGTTAAAAGTCCAATATTTATCCACTGGCAACCACTGAGTGTGGAGCAGCAGTTTCAGTTCCAAACTAACAAAGCCAAAACCAAAATTGAAACCCAATATGTAGCCCCTTAGGCTCCTTATAAAGCCCTTCAGTAAAGCAAGAGAGAAACTAAAATAACGTGCACTCCCTCGCTCTGTTAGAAGCTTTTAGCCAAAGGGTATAGCTAATTCAATGAAGAAAATTTGGCAAGGAATCACATGCGAGTGAAGTTGTACCGGCTGCTATGATGCAGAATTTGGATCGAATGAGGAAGAAAACTGAAGTAAAACCAGTAAAAACAACATCAAAGCTGAAGAAATGAAATTTGCAAAAACATCTATTCTGTCTGACTGTAACTTTCACTTGTGGAGACCTAAAGACATAAAAGTTTAAAAAGGAAATCTATATCAAAGCCAGCTTTAAGCATTATCACCAAGCGGGACTGTGTGCAACATAAATCTATTTGCATTCAGTGAACGGTTGCAGCTTTGATACCTGTGTCCTAGAGCAAGCTGGGGCGCCTCTGATGGAGAGCAGAACGACAGGCCCTCAGATACCCCGCTGATCTGAGCTCCGGCTACAGAGGCATACCGAGAGGTGACAGACGCCGCCAGAGGAGAAACAAGTTAACATCAAACTAAGCGACTGTCTTTGGCTGCTGGCTGCATGGCTGGCTGTGACTCACAGCCTCAGAGGGACTCTGGATCACACTCCTCTCAGCATCGCTCTATAAACCAGACTCGTTTTTTCTGCAAGTCACTTCACTTTTATTCAGTTCAATTAAGTCTTTGTCACAGCAAGTCACCTAGAGCCATTCTGAACAAAAACACTGCTGCGTTAAGTAGAATAGCAGTATGAATATGGTTTTCTTTTATGGCAAACACGTTCTTTTATATACCAAGGTAAGAGTTGAGCTCTACAAAATCACTGATGTCAAAATGCTGTGGTTTGTGTTCATGTTGGAGTAAAACTCCATGACTTCCTGTTTCCTTCAGTGTGTGTCAGTTTACATCTTGCTGTCAGGTCGTCCTCTCTGCATGGTTCAAAAGAGCAAAGTGTAAAACGCTGGTGCTCTTTGCAAGTGTAGACCGTAAAAAATCTACAAAGCAGAACGCACAAAGCATCGGTCTTTTGGTACACGTGTTAAAGGCTGTTATAACCTGATATTTGAATCAAATTTCACTTTATGGTTGAGTAAAATCAGTTGTGTCATAGCAGGCTTTTATTGCATGAAAGAGGAATAAAATGTGCTAAATGGCAGAAAATGAAAAGCACATTTTCTAAAATCCAATCTCAACACAATCAATCACTTTTTGACAATACATTGCCAAGAATTACGCAAGATCTAATCTATAAGCAACTGTGCAAACCGAGCTTCTATTTTTTATTTATTTTCTGCATGTTAAGCACAAAAACTTGTGTAACCTGTTGTTAAGTGTGCTACACCAGAGATTCTTAACCTATGGGCCGCGGCCCGGGCCTCAAAAGAACAACAGTTTTTAACTTTGGGCCGCAGAGGGCCGCGGTACCGCATTGATTTTGAATAAGGTTCTAAACACTTTCTCACCACCGGTAGCAGTAGTGCACCAGTCAGTTGTTTAACAACATTTTTGATATGTAGAAGAAGAACCTTTGCCAAGAATGGAAACCTATTTTAAATGAAAAGTAGATGCAAAAAATGAAAGTAACTCATCAAAAAACACAAAAGTTTGTCACTAATATGAAGTGCAGCTTCTG